ACGCACCTAGTCGGCATATTTCGGACAATATCGACGACAACCTTCTCAAACAAGTGAAAATATGTGAAATGCAGACTTTCGTGTTCTCGATTTGACGTCACATTACCCGCTAGAGCCATTCCTCTTTAAACTCGGCCGTGGGGCAAGATGGCGGCCGATTTTTCGTATTTTGACTGGGCACAGAAAATTAAAGATTTGAGCAAATTAAAAAATTTTTGCACAAAAATACTCCAAAAAATAAGCTTATTTCGTTAAGCGAAAAAAATTTTTGGGTTTAGGTGCACTTTAAGTTACGTTGGATTTTTAGCAATTTATAGTAAGCACAAGCTCGGAAAATGTGTCCGATAAAAAATAAATAAATAAATAACTTTTAGAATCTATGGACATTTCTGAACAAACATCTGATACCCTTAAGAAGTTTGAAAGAACGTTTCGGTGGAAATTCTGTAAAAATTTCTGATAGCTGCAGGGCCAATATATTGAAGGATCGTGCGTTGAAATGTTTGGTTTCCTAATCAGCAAATGTTTACACACTTTTGTTACAAACCCTAGTCCTTTCTAATGCTCACTAAGCGCCCTTATGCAGCTGTCAGTTGACGCTATCCATTCCATTTCACAGACCGACATGAAAATGAAACTTCATAGTCGTTGATATTTTCTTAAGATTAAATGCATTGATTTTCATAAATTACTTAACAAAGGTGGGAAAGAATGAAAGAATATTATGACTTAGCACCAGTCGTTAACTTTCCTTTTTTTATTCTGTTTTGAAATGATCACATCAAAAAATGACTCTTAAAAGGGGTAAACTGAAGTGTAAGTTGTGAGGAATCACATTCCCTACCAACGGGAAACTTGAATCTCATACAGTTTGACTTGCAACCGATCAAGAGCCAGTGAACGTTCGCGACTCCTTATCGAAATTCCAAAAATAAAGATTGTAAATGCAGGGCTCGACACTAACGGTAGCCAACTAGCCACAGAATAGTAGAAATTCAGTTTTGTCTAGTGGTTTTTGA